CTTGATAGAGACACTCTCTAGCCATACTGGGGGTGGACTACCCCTGTCCCTTCCCCTCTCAGACATTGTCCTTGTGGCAGGACAGCTGTCTTGCTGGGAGAGGCTTCTACAGTCCCAATCCAGGGCTGGGCAGCCCACAGCCACTGGATGACTGACACAGGGCTACAGAGGCCTTGTGACGTGTGCTTTGCTGTAATGTGATGCTTATGATTCTGAGTTGGTTGGTATTCTAATTACTTAATGAGATTATGCTTTGACAGCACCAACTCCGTTTTGAGCTTATAACAAAAGGTCTAACTGAGTCAAATGACTGGCTGATAGTCACCGTGACAACTGACTGTTGACCACATTGACTACTGTGCATCAATATGTAAATGACATTGTTGGTGCTCAGGACTGTATTTCCAAAGTGAAAACCTGAGGGCTCAGATAGTATATTTTCTTTACTACAAATACAAATGCCTTGAGACATATTGTGGCTCTGTGTGAGTGTTACCATAAGGGGCAGTCCCTCGGACTCTCCTCTGTGGATGCACATTGTTAGTTTTCCTGTTAGAATTCTGTGTTCAAATGACTTTTTGAACCCATTTTGCCTATCCTTTCTGCTTTTACTTTTGCTTATTTTGTTTTTGTGTGCAGTGCAGTAAACCAGTTTACTCAGAAGCCCTTGGCCCATGTGGCTTATTTGATTAAAGATAAGAGGCCCTGCCTCTTTTGGAAAAAATGATCCTAAAGTTGAAATTATTACTAGGTGTTAAGGACTCAGGTCTTCCTGGCTGGGGAAGCAACAGAGGCTTCTAGGCAGAATGTGTGTACAACCCACACCCAGAGCTCCCGAAACTGTAGACCATCCATCCCTTCCTGTTCCACCTGTTCCCTCCTTCCAGGAAATTGGATGGAAGATACCCCCCTCCCTGCACTCACCCTCTCCCACCCAGCTTTTTCCCCCATCCCCTCTGCTACTCCATGCCTCATTGTCTCCAAATTACCACCTTCTGATTGACCCATCAGTTATTTGTTTTCTTCTTTTGGTCTGTTTCTCCCAATGTAGATGACAGGAGTGTCTGCTTTATTTCCTCTGCTCAATGCCCGCAAACTGCAGGTGCCCTTTAGATAGCTGTTGGCCGAGGGGCAGCTGAGAGAGCAGGGGCCTCAGGGAGATGGCACGTTGAGTGTTCTAGGCACCGTGGTACTAAACCCCTAGGAGGAGCAGTTGAGGGAGGCTCTACAGGGGCACAAGGGCCCTCAGTGATCCAGTGGCAAGTTCTTCATGCTGAAACCACACAGGACAATTTTCAGGAGGGTCAGCTCATTATGCTGGTGGTGGCAATGACAGCAGTAGCATTTCTCTGAAGCAGGAGGGGGGTTTCCTAGAATGGAGAAATGGCCTCTGCCAATAGCACATCTACCCCAGTTTCTACTGCAGACCTCTGACAGTCCCAGGAATTAAAACTACACCCCCCCACACACACACATAGCTGGGGCCCCTTGCCAGGTCACATACTTCCTGGGAGAAGCTAGCGCTTTAGACCTCCCCAGCCCCAGGGAGTGCTCCTCTGCTCATTCCAAACAGATGCGACTGAGCCAGGCGTTCATGCTAGTCTGTCCTATTGATGGAGATGTGCAGACCTTGGGACCTGTCTTGCTGGCTCCTCCTCCCAGAGCAAGAGTACATGGGCCATCTGTCCCATTTGGCACCAAGGCACAGTTAGGGTGAAAAGCCAGTCTGCCCCTTATTTACTGTGTGACCCTATGAAGGTTTCTTAAGCTCTCTGAGCCTCAGTTCATATATATACAAAATGAGGTTATTGCAATCACTCTGCAATTACTTATTGCACACTTATTATACTCCAGGCCCTGCTTTTGGACCTGGGGCCATGCACAAGCCCCCCAAGCTGTGAAATCCCTGCTGGAGCGTTGATTGCTGCCCCCACCCCATGCTTGTCTTCTGAACTTTGGGGCTTTCGGGAGAGGTGAGCCCATCTACACAGGGGACCTCAGTAGCTTCTCCCTTGAAACAGGGGAGCTATCAACTATAGAGGAATTGATAAAGAAAATGTGCTAGATACACACAGAGGAATTTGTTCAGCCATCAAGTGGCACAAAGTTCTGTGGTTTGTAGAAAAATGGATGCAACTGCACATAATAATATTAAGTAAATTAAGCTTGTCTCAGAGAGACAAAGTATCATGTTTTCTCTCATACGTGGTCCCTAGATTTTATAGAGAAACAACATTAGTTATGAAAGTAGAAATGAAAGTGCTAACAAGAGGGGCAGAGGTGGCAAATGGGGGCACATACAATGAATACAATGAAAATTGAAAAAAAGAAATAGGGAAGTTAAGAGACAATTCTAGAAAAAGCGGAGACCGGCCCCAAAGAGGAAGTCAGAAGGAAAAAATGTGAGAAAGTGTGTGGACCAGACCAGCCATAAAGGGTGGGACACCCTGCCTCCACCTGGCAGTCTGTTTATGATGAAGCCCAGGAAACAGGCGAGGAAAATGCCCAGGACTAAGTTATGACAGAGCTGAAGCCCTGGGTGCCTAGGCCTCCCAAATTTTGCATTGCCTGGTCATGAGACGTGTTGCTACCTGTTACTGTTTCCATCGCAGAACCTTGAAATGAGAGTCAAGACACTGCTTGTGGGCGAGATACAGGAGAGCAGTTTGAGATGAGGGCCTGGAATGGAGGAGGAAACCATGTGGAGGTCTTCCTTTACCATACACTGAAGGCCGGTATGCATACTCACCTCAGGCTGTTCGAGTCAGATTCTAGAACCCAGGTCCCTGACCGCTGGCCAAGGTTTTGCTGTGCCTGTGACCACCTTCCCAGAGGCTGCTCCCTTTCCACCCATCTGTGGGTAGGTAGCTGATTCCACATTTCCATGCCCTTTCTGCACTGGATCTTCTTTTCCTGCCGTCACCTGGGAAAAGCAGGGCAGTGATGGGCTCTTTCCATAGTACCTCTCCTCACAAGAGCACTGGATTCCAGTGCACCTACCTGTTCCTCTATGGCACAGCATGGGGAGTCAGGCGGCTGGGCTCTCTCAGGCCCCCCAGAAGGGCTCTGTCTGCCTTTGTTGCTTTCTTGAGCTGTGGTTTGGAGGGGAAGATGGTTATGCCTTCTGAAATCCAAACAGAAACAGTAGCTCTAGAGGTGAGGCCGAGTGCTGCTCTGATACTGGCAGAATCCACAGTTGACAGCTCTCTCAGATCCAGAAGTTAGCATTGCAAGGGGAAAAGGTATGGCTTTCTTTTCAACACATGGGTAAGTCAGTTTCCAATCTAACAGCACAAAAACGAGTTTCTTGCTTAATTAGAGGAAACGCTCTGTCTGAACCCCAGCAGCTGATGTGATGTAGTCTCCGTGGGCTGATCACTGCAGAAGGGATAGGTGTAGCAGCCACTGTAAGTATTTGCAAGTGATGTTCACCCTGAAAGGCCCTCAGCAGCCCAGGGGCCCTGGGCATTGCACATACCTCTTATCTGCCCACCCAGGTTGGGCCCCTGCTGCCTGACAATCTTCCTTTTTCCCATGAAGGTGCCTTCCCCCCATATTCCAAAACTGAAGAGAGGCCTTCCTTGACTTCTGGCCTTCAACTACTCACCCCTCAAGATGCACTGTCAGGTCCTGGCAGACCAGTCCCTGCTTCTCCCAGCTTTGTTTCTCCAGTCCCTCTGCACTGTGCCCCACCTCAGCTAGAAGATCACTATGAAGCAGTCTTACCCAGCTCCTCCTGCCTACAGTAACAGTCCCCTGCCAGGGCTGCAGCCGCTTCTTACTGCCCCTTCTCCGACTCTCAACACCTTGCTTAGCCTGTGGCTCTTGCCCCCAGCTGCCACCAGTCACTTCAGAACTCTCCTAGACCCTTGCAGTGGGTGAATTTCTCTCCTCCCTCCAGAGGCAGCCAGTCACACCATCACACCCCCTTCCCAACACAGGAATTCTGGACTTTAGAACAGAGGGAAGTCCAGAAGTGATCATCCAGGGATCAGTGGTCACTGAGTGCTGGACTGCAGATCCCTCATCTCCATCCAGGCAGGAAGTGGCTCAGCCTCTGCATATATACCCCACAGTGATGGGGGACTCTCTCAGACACAATCCTCCCAGGCCTCCCTAGGCAACCTTGGTATTGTAGGTGTCACTTGGTCCCTTTCTTGTGCCCAGCTCTCATTACCCTGCTCAGAGAATTCTTGAGCCTAGGGCCCTGTGCCTCTCAACCTGACACTGACCATGGTCAGGGAGTGGCTATTGCCACCTGAGAGATGGCCAGTGGCCTGGCCTTGGCAACCAACCACCCAGGCAGAAGTTTGGGGCTCATCTTTCCTCTGCCCTTTGCTCAGACCCTGCAGTGGAGCATGTGGTCTGGGCCCCAGGGAATCTGTGCTTCTCTGCTGCACTGGAGCCCAGGCCCTGCAGGCAGAGGGTCAGCCCCTCATGTGGAGCTGCCCAGCATCACCAGATGTCTAGGGAGGGGGACCTTGCCCTCTCCCTGTTGTCTACAGTCTTCAGAAGACTGAAAGCATATTGCTCACTGGTCTGTTCTACATAAACCATGTCTGGAAAACTGAGTGAGCCATGGGCATATCTGTTTTCTGTAACTTTCCAGAATGTTCAGCGTCAGCGAACTTCAAAGTTGGATTCTCAAGCTCTCCTGCCTGGATTGTAGTTCAGTGACTTCCAGAATGTTTCCTCTGTTCTTTAGGTTTCCTGTAAGGGATGTGTGCAGGTGCGTGTGCATTTGTGGGTGGGGGGGGCATGCTGCTTAGGGGAGCACACTGCTCCGCTCCACAGCCTATGTGCCTGTGTGCAGTGGTCTCTGGCCACTGTGAGGCCTCTGGCAGCAAGTGCAGGCACCAAAGCAGGAGCCCAAAGCTGTCCATTGCACTGGCCACCTCAGGACACTCCACCATCCTGGGCTCCCAACACATACCTCAGTTTCCTCTCCTGTCATCTCCAGGTCCAGTGAGATGCAGACTCTGGGACCACAAAGACAGGGAGTCCAGGCTTCAGAAAGCACCTGCCTGTTGGGAGGTCTTCAGGCAGGTTTCTTTACCTGGTGAGGCTTGGAAGAACCACAGGAAGTTAAAAAGTGGACTGAGCAGACCTGTCTTTTTTAAGAGGACCCAAGTTCTGCTGCTTCTCCTCCCCTGCACTGCCCTCTGGTGGCCACAGGGAGACATTGCTACCTCACAGTGTCTTCTTTCCAAAGCAGAGCCCAGGGCTGAAACTGTCCTTAATACTGGAGGCAGGACCTACCTGTCACTGCTCTGACCTAAGGCTCAAGGTCTCCCCCCCAAACAATGGAAATAATTAGGAAAACACCGGGTCTTAACAGCAGGATGATAAGTGCTGACTGCCCTTTTCTGAACCGTGGGTGCTGGCCTGAGCTTTTTTGTTCACCATGGGTTAGACAAGGTAAGAGGAGTGCTGCGTAGTAAGGTCACACAGGCAGGAGGCTGAGGGACTGGTCCACAGAGTCCCTGGTCATGGCTGCAGGCCATGGAGCACATTCCTCAGCTTCCTTTTCAGGTCCAGTTGAGAAGCAGAGTCTGGGACCACATAGACAGGGTGTCTAGCTTCAGAGAGGCCCTGACGGATTGGGCCAAGGTTTCAGACAGGGTAGAGATGTGACTGCATTTGCACTGGGCAGCTACTCTGCAGAATGGACTGAGTGTGGAACCCTGGGAGCTGACACACCAATGAGGGGCCCTGCTCCATTCACAGAGCTGCCAGGGGCTTCATGTGTACCAGGCTAGGGTGGGGAAATATAGATACTTCTCCCCTTTGCAGAGGACAGGTGAGCCCAGTTCTGGGAACAAGCTTCAGTAGAACCAGTGGGTGAGTGAGGAGAGGATGGAAGACTTATGACCTTATGAACTTCCTTCTAGAGACATGACCCAGAGCCTTCTAGAGAGGCCTTCCCAGAAACCAGGACTGATGTTCTTGGCCATGTACATGGATTAGTCTGACTCCTGCCCCACTCCACTGGCTGGGCTCAGCCAGCAACTCCTGCGACTCTATCAAAACCAGGTCCAGGCTTCAGTGTGGTTCTGCTGTCACTCACCAAACCATTAGATATAACCAGTCCCCTCCCCCACAGCAGGAACAGAAGTTTGCCTTAGATGTAGTCACCTGGCTCTGGCACAAGCTTTCTGGTTGTAAGATCCTGAGTCCTGGTCCTCTACTTCTCCCACTGAAGGCCCAGAAGCACCCCACACTCCAGCCGCAGCATGTTTCATGTAGTCTGTAGATGTTGGCACCTCTTTCCTGAACCTGGGCATGATGGCCTTACTTCCTGTGACTGGCACCTGCAAATCTTCTGAAGTTGCTGGGACACTAGGCCTCCAGGAACTGCCCCTGAGCACAATAAGGGGATCTGGAGGACCTGTGGTCAGCCCCCAACTTACCCCCATAGGTAACTCTGTGCATGGGCGTTCCAACTCCAGCTGCCTCAGTGGACAGGGCTCAGTGTTGCCCACCTCATATGCTGTCTTCCTGTTTTCTCCCTCATCCATGTCCAGGGGATCCCCTTTCAGATAAATAATTTGCACCCAAATTCTTGTCTGTTGTTGGGAGAAATTAACCAAGACAGAATCCAGACAAACCATTTTATTTTCATGTTCTTTTGTTCAGGGTAAGAAAAGGGGCCAGAGAGACAGATCTTGAGGCTAAAATGGGAAGCATGGGCTTTTCCTTGTGACTTTGGGACTAGGTACTAGGAATGAATCAGGGTTAGTAGGGGTGGAACAAGACTTCACAAACACTGGCTAGACTTCTCCAGGAAGACTTTTGTCTGCCAAGTGACCCCAGGTACCTGGACCCTTGCAGGCAACCACAAAGCAGACACCATCATTGCCACAGTAGGTCTCGCTGTAGCTTAGGGAGTGGTGGTCACACCATAGCTTAAACCTGGAAGCCAGCATCCTGCATGGCCTTCTCTACCATCTCCTTCTCTACATAGAGCCCAGAGAACTTCTTGGAGCCTACCATATAGTGTTGGAAGCGCAGGGTATTCATGGTAACCAGGTACTCACCTGGCTTCAGCAAGCTAGCAAGGCTGCACGGGGCTTCCTGGTAGGCATCCACATTGGGACAGGCATAATACAGGGCCAGAAGCCTTAGAACACAGTCGGCTGGCAGCATCTGAACTGATCCCAGTGGGGGGTTCTTGTTCAGGTCACACTTCAGCACATGGGTGACTGTCCTAGGAGCTTAGCTTCCTTGTCTTGCCACTTGCTTCTGTGGGAGAGTCACAGAGGCGATGTGGAAATTACAACTGATAATATGACTACGATAAAGAAGTATAACAAATGATAAACATCATAATTAGGAAAAATAGCCAAGATGATCATTACAATTTTCTCCAGTCCTATAACCACCCCATCATTCAACCTGCTCAGCCACACACCATACGGAGGGAAACTGGGGCACAAACTTGCTCAAATCCATGTAGTCACAGGTGATAGCAGGTTTGATATTTGATTAGTCCCTCACCTTTCACTTCTCCCATTCCTTCTTTTTAATAATTCAACTTTGTTGGTATATACCGTTATTATCTTAACGTGTGTATATGTGTGCATACAGGTGCATGTGTGTATGCAAGTGTATAAACAAGTATGTGCACATGTGTGTGGAAGCAAGAGGATAATCTCAGATGTTGTTCCTAAGTGGTTTGCTTTTAAAAATTTATTTATTTATTTATTTATTTATTTATTTATTTATTT